ACGCGTGAGCACACATGCGTACACGCACTAACGCACGCGCACGTGCATGTGAGCGCGCGCGCTCCCCCCCCCACACGCACAAATGTGACACATGGTAAATGTTGGGCAATTACTGAGCTGGAACAAAGGAGACCTTCAAATTCCATTGCCTTTTTAACCTTATATTTTTCTAGGCAAGAATCTGGGAAGCCAAATCAAAGGCATCTAAATAACGTTATGAATCATGACATACTAAGCTCTTTGTCTCTAATTCCTTGTCTTTTAAACACATTACTTTGAAAAAAATGACTTTGGTCTAGGTGGTGCTAAGTTGAGGAGTAAAAAGGAGTAAAAGGAGTATTTTAAAGTATTAAAAGATTTGAAGAGATCATATTCACCTTAGCTAAATCGGTATAATGATTTCTAAAACGTATACCGGGTAGCCATTTGAAGGAACTCTAATTATTGCAAAAGGACTACACCTGTAGATTTTTTCCTAATCTAAAATTAAACCTGTAAGGCTCTGCTGGAATCATTTAGGAAAGAATAATTGAAACCCCCTTCAGCAAGTTAATTCAGAATCTCCTAATTTTACTTTTCTTGTTCACAGGGTATCTTTTTTATCATGGTGTTTTCAAATTGAAGCTCACACACATCAAATAAATAGCATGATAATCAGAGGTTCCAATATCCAATACACACTCATTATTATCTGTCATTATTGTCAGTGTCACTATTATAATTGCACATGGTAAAAAGAATGGAAGCTTTTCCACAGGAATTATTCACGTGTATTATTTTCTAGGAGTAATTGAATAGTTGACATTGCATTTATATCAAAGTAAAATATGTGATGTTTTCTCATTTGTTTTATTCTTAAGAAATAAGAAATATAGAGTAATCTCTATTAGTCCCTTTATTTGGATCCAGAAAGGTTCAGTTTTATGTAATGTCCAAATGTGTATTTTCTTATAATAAGGCTCCAAAGATATCCAATATGATTAAAGTGATAATTTTCTAAGAACATATAAGATAACAACTGGGTAGCGAAGTCCTCTTAATTAGCTTGTATTTATATACATGAACTCAACAAGAATCTCAGTAGAAAAGATTACTTTTCTTTTTTAACTATTTAATCAGGTTTGGTATGTTGAAATGAAGCCCACATTGTATTGCCAATATCTACAGATTAATAATAATTTCCCTTAGAGTTTACATAGAACTTTCACTTTATCATTTTATGTAATCCTCATGACAACCCCTTGAAGAGGCAAGTCAGATACTATCAATCTATTTAAATATGAGAAAACAGAGGCTCCAAAAAGCCAAGTAATTTATACAAAATTACTCTGCTGAGTAGAAAACTGGTCCTAGAAGGGCTCTCCTGGGTGACTCAATCAGCTGAGGATCTGACTTCAGCTCAGGCTATGATCGTGGGTGGGGGGGTGGGGGAATGGTGTAGAGGGGGTGTGGGGGGGTTGTAGGGGATCAAGCCCCATGGTGGGCTCCACTCAGCGGGGAGTCAGCTTCTTCCTCTCTCTGCCCCTCCTCCTGCTGGTTTTCTCTCTCTCTCTCTCTCTCTCTCAAATAAACAAAATCTTAATTTAAAAAAAAAAAGGAAAAGAAAATTAACCCTAGAATCCTGGTCATCTGGATCTTTTTTTTTTTTTTTCTCCATCTGGATCTTAATTAGAAGTTATGGTAAAATAAAAATTTAAAAAAATAAACGTGAATTTTAGAAAAATCATAGGCCTGGTAGCATTAAGAGGCCAGAGTCTGAACACTCTTTATGCCATTTTATTTTACTATGGGAGCCTTCTAATGTCCCTTTAAAATGGAGTTACTTCTGTAGCTTTAAGGCTGTTTTGACAGTCAATGGAGGAAATGGGGAGAAAGACACATGTGTTCTGTGAGTCTATGTGTTATTTCTTTCTTCTGTCCTCTACTACTTCTCACATGCTTTATCCTATTTTTGGTTTCTATGTGATTCACCTTCACAAAGTTGGTTTTGTTTTTTTTTTTTTAGATTATTTATTTATTTATTTGACAGACAGAAATCACAAGTAGGTAGAGAGACAGGCAGAGAGAGAGGAGGAAGCAGTCTCCCCGCTGAGCAGAGAGTCTGATGCGGGGCTCGATCCCAGGACCCTGGGATCATGACCTGAGCCGAAGGCAGAGGCTTTAACCCACTGAGCCACCCAGGTGCCCCCTTCACAAAGTCGTTTTAAACTTTATTTAGACTTAAGTAATGTCAATACTGAGTTAGAAAATTGAGTGACACAAGCTTTAGAAACAAAATAATCTAAGGGAAATGCCGTACTGAGTTGAATGAATGATAATACGAATATAGGAATGCAAGATTTAAAATGTCTTTTCGCTCACTACAAGGCCATACATGATGACCTTAAAACACGGTTCCTTCACAGAAAACACACAACCAATGAGGAAGGGAGGTAGAGTTTCCTTTCCTTCCATGTAATTCTTCATCACATTCCCTGAGGAGGCTGGATGGTTTAGAGATTTATCTTAGTTTATGTGGAGGCTTTTGTGGCTGCTAGGCTAGCTAGCTAGCCCTCTGAATCCTCTCACTGTTGGCAGGGGTGAAGGTTGTTTCCATTTGCCAACTGTTCAGTGGCTTAGGTCTCGGTAGTCTCCGGCCAGTTCTTAAAGGACAGATGGCAGAGAGTGGCTATTTGGGCGGAGAGAACAAAGACTCTAGATCCTGTCCTCATCTCTGGAGATGGTCCATCTCATTTGCCGTTGAAAATCACCCACGTGGATTTGTCCCGGGAAGCTGGCCTTCTCAATTAATGAAACAACCTTACCCAGCATCATTAAGTCATTCATTCCTCTCTGTCTGTCATTCATGAAACATGTTTTAAAAGCAGTACCTTTATTTAAATGTCAAAACAGAGACTGAATTAGATTGCTTCGGTCCCACTATCACCGCCCTGAGTCCTTTCCTCTCCCGTCTAAGCATAGGTATTGGCCCGGCCTGTCTGCCGCCTCCGCAGTCCGGCAGCAGGTAGAGGTGTTACGGCAAGACAACCACACAGTGGCACCTTCTATTGGAACAGGAGAAGTCTCCACAGGGTACCCAGTAGCAGCGGCCTGAAAAAGAGTACTTGCTCTCATCTTGACTTGTCTTAGACTCACCGAGTGGTTGATTATTTGGACTAAAATGACAACAATAAAATAGTCCTCTATTAGTCCTGTAACCGTGCATTTAGGAAATTACAAAGAACATCAATGACGTATGTTCTCATTTCAAATTAATAGAAAGCTACTTACGACACTGAGTTTCCATCACTCCTCTTAGCAAACCACCCCAATCACCCAAATCCTCAAAGTATGGAGCTCTCTGCTATTAGATTCCGGTTTTGTTTCCCAACCACTGATCTGTAAGGCATATGGGTACATATGGGTACCTTAAATTCAAAGAAGCAAGGGGGCTTTTTGTGCATGACAAAATTAATATTGCAAACTGGTATTACATTAGGCATCCTTCTGGAAGTCCAGCTCCCCCTATCCATAATTCCCCGATCAGAGTTCCTCCAGAAGGCATTTTTTCTACTGAGGCATAGACAATGCATTCACTGGCACCAGAGTTTCATTAAAGGAATTCTCCTGTTCCCTTCCTTCCCATGGAAATGTCATTAACTGTATTAAGTTAACTCTCCGAATGTTAGGTTCTTAACCAACAAACAGTGCTTCTCCACAAGGGCATACTTTGCCAAGCGTCCTGGAATCCAAACGATGGGCTGAATATGTCCTAACAGATTCAGAGCCCCCACGATTGGTCGCGATCATATTTAAGAGGGACCTTTTTGTATTTATTGACTTTTTTCCTTCCGTCATGGTCGTTCCCTTTCTTCCACCACCACCTTCAGCCTTTCAGGTAAATGAAAAGTTCAATTATATGTAAAGCGACCGTTAAATCAGCAGGCCCCTCGTGGGGGTCTGGGCCTCCCGTCCCCGCTCCAATCGCAAGTGTGCTCAATCCATTAGCCTTCCCGAGGATCACACATCCATCAGGTCGAGTGTGCCGGCCAGGGTGCATCTTACAGCTTTTACTGCATATGAGACGTTGCAGGCCTGTTCTCAGGAGCTGCCAGGCAGACTGGGAATCACAGTCACGGTTAATAGCAGCGAATTGCCAGCTCTTGATGGGTGGGTAGTCACTCCTTTCAGTGGTTGCCCCCTGGGGGAGAAGGTAGAAAAACAGAGGGAGGGAATTAGAGTGACTTTGCACAGTTGAGCAGGTTCATGCCGCTGGATCAGTGGCAAGCATTGGCAGGGCTCCACTCTGGGGAGGCTCAAAACAACCTCACAGTCTCATTTTTACCAATTGGTGCTGCTGTGTCGCCAGTGTGCCCAGGGATGGGGGGGGTGGGGGAGAGTGCGGGGGCAGGAAAGGGGTGGGGGGCGCTGGAAAGAAGATGAAGGCAGAAGTCTCAGCTAAATTAAACAAACAAAAAGTCTCCCTGATACTGGTTAACCTACCCCAGTTAGCCCTGTGCTAACTAATTGTACCAAACTGGTATTCAAAGTTCCCTGGGTGATTAAAGAGTTGGCTCACAAACTCTCTGCATAACCTTAATTTTTTCAAGGTTCTTTGAGTGGAGAATGGCTTATAATAATGATTTTGACTAATACGATTTTTGACATGCAACTTTAATGCTTAACCTTAGTACAACTCCAGAGCATTTCATGTGTACTCAGCTGTAAAGAGTGATGATTTAAAGGGATAATATAAGAAAAAGGTCGTTCTAGAATGAACCTCTAACAAATTGCATAAAGGGAGCTTATTATTCCATGAGTATGGGGATATGCTGCTCTTCTGATCATTTTTCTGCTTGGTTCAAAAAAAGTTGTTGAGACATGAATGGGAGAAGAAACAGGAAAAAATGAAATAGAAATCTGCAAGCAAGGAACATTCTTTTGATGGTTATGATTTCGTCGCCACTAAAAAGGCTCTACAATAATGTGGTTATTCATCTCCTCTTTTGTTTTGGGTGAAGAATTCGCTCTAACAAGAAAATGCTGTTACTGGTCGGAGGCTTGCCTCCCGGGCCGGACCGACTCCCCAGCAACTTGGTTCAGTACTACGATGATGAGAAGAAGACATGGAAAATACTCACGAGTGAGTGGCCTTCTCTCTTTATTTACCCACCTGTTTATTTCTGCTTAGAGCTGTCTCAATGAATTTGAAAACATGGCTAATCAAATTAGACATTTTATTGATTTGTTACCCTTTGGAGGTCTGTTTATGTATCACAAGGGATTTGGAGTAAAAGACTAAATTAACATTGCAGAGGTGGCCCATTTGGTAAATGAATGGGCATAAATGAAACTGGACTCAAAGCCCTGCGAGAGTTTGTGTCTCTGTGACACAGAGGGGGTGGGTCACAGAGATGTTCCGAAAGAAATGCCTCCGTTCTTTTTTTTTTTTTTTTTTTTTGCTTACCGAAAAGTGGAAGGTTGGTTAATAGCCCCAGTAAATTTTCTCACATCATAAGGGGTGTTTCATTCATTGTCTTTGTAACTAACGTTCATGTTGCCTTTTAGACATTTTCTGCTCATTCGCCTGTAGTCTGTGGGACTGGGTCTTAGAGAAACCCGGCCCTCGATAGAGCGGTAGCAACAGCCACACAGTGTGGATGGACAGACATCCGCGGCCTGTCCCAGCCGCATTCCACTGTGCTTGCGAACTTCCACCCAACGGTCTCTTCCGCACCCCCTGAAAGGGTGATTGTGTTTTACAGCAAACCTCTTGCCTTGGGCGCTGAGATTTGGAACTTATTGTTACATTGGTTACGATTCCCAATCTGACTCAGTCATGGAATCAAAAATCATCATTTCTTGAGTGCAGCAGGCTGTGTGCTCCGGGCCCCTCGTGGGCACAGTGGCTGCACTGGTCAATAAAACTAAATTTTAACTGTCAAAATTGCCCAGAGCTGTATAGATAAAATAATAAATGAGTAATTTTGATCCATAAATCAAAGCCATACATTTAAAACCAACAAAAGAGAAAGTTAGATTTTCTTATGGCATGTGTCTTTTAAGCAGTTATATGTTTTATCAGATTTTAAAAAAATCATTTCCTTTCCTCGTACTAAAAGCCCTTTAAAATAATAGGAATAGGACAACAGTTTGCCCATAAGAGCAGAAGAGACGCAAAGACATGTGAGGTGGTGCTTGAAATAATGCATCTCGGAGCTGGCTTACCCCGGTGAGACCACTGGTAGCATTGTCCAGGATCTGCGACGAGGAAGCTCCCCAGACACCCATACACTACGAAAGAAGTGGGGGCATAGTAGCGGGAAGCTTAAGGAGAAGGAGGGAAGAAAAATAAATTACAGATCCTTAAAATGGTTTTCACTCTCTTTTTTGATAAAAGGACCATTCATATCAATCATTCATAGAGATTTGAACATCTGAATGAGTGACCAAGCTGTATTTTTAAAGTAAAACCAAAGAATCGATTATCTGACACTGATCACTAGAGAAAGCCTACATAGAATAAGACACGGATGCTAGGAGGAGGAGAGAAGAAAGAGGAAAGACAAAGATTCCCGAAGAGAGAGGACAGAGACATAGAAGCAAAAGAAGTGATAGGCATTCACAAACCCATCTGCTTTCCCACATACACCGGGCGAGGCCCAGTTTGCTACTGGTTTGAAGCCCTTCATTAAAGGCAAAAGGATTAATTAAAACATCATGAGTAATACTCTAAGAAAAGTCTTAGGTTCATTTGAAAGCTTGTTTGGGGACAGAGTGATCATTTAGTCTCCAAACGGGGACACTTCAGAGCATGACATGGGGACCTATTGATTATGCTGGGACAATAGGGATAGACTGGAACGTAGGGTCACCCTGCTCAAATTTTTCACCTTAACTTAGAAGGATGTGGTAAGAAGGCATAAACTTGAAACAGTCAGACCTGAGTTCAAACCCATGTCTTTGACCTTGATCCAGACATGACAGTTTCCCAAGTCATGGCTTCTTCATTTTGTCAGCACAGTTGGAGTATTTTTCTAAATAAAATTGTGTTTATAAGTCATCTAGCACATAGCGTGAGTGCAACCAACTGCAGGTGTCACGGCCATTATTATCACAACACCACCATTCTGAGGACAAGGACTGTGTGGACCTTTACACCCTAGAGGTGTCAGTCAACTCAAACTCTCCATGCAGAGGGGAGACCAATTACAGGGCAACAGATACAGCACTCTGACCCGCGGTCCCGGAGCCAGGAACCTAGTTTCCGTAGTTTTCCTACGTTGCATGTGGTAATCTACAGACTCAGAAGGAGAGATAAATGATGGTCAGTCGATTCCATTCACCAGGTTTGAAATGGAAGAAAATAAAGACATGAATGTATAGAAAAGTTCTTATAATAGGAGCATACTCAAAGATCTCGAACCTCTTTTCTATAGTCAGGCAGGCTTACAGCTTTGAAATAAATGTCTACTCCACTTACACTCTTGATTTCCCTGGAACTCATACTTTAAAAATTGAGTTTATTACCTGCTGGGCTGTGACTACATGGCCCCAAGTGAAGGCATATTTTCCAGGTTTGTTGGAGAGAGATAGTTTATCTGGATGATTTCTGCTGAGGTATGTATTTTTTAATTAAGGCATCTTATTTGGCTAATAAATAGGACCGGTCACGGACAGATTTCCACGCTATTCTGGCCATCTAACAATAAAGGAAGAAATGTTTCTTACTGGAATAGAAAAAAAAAAAATCCAAATTCTCCCTAAATCCAGAGAAACATTAGGGATTGCAGAGCTTCCCACTGTCATTCTTTTGCCCCTGAAGGACCTCTAAACTTACTGGCAGGGAGATGTGGATGACCGTTAATGCTAGCAGACAGGGCCAGGCTTGGGGTCTGCTTATTGATTAAATGGCCATCTCCATAGGAACTGACAAATAAACTAACTAGCAAAAACCTAAAACCCGACTCAGCTAGAGCCTCTGACTCTTAGAATCCTTTGCCCATGTGGCTTAAACACAGATGTCTCAGCCTGTTTCATAAACACGCTCCTTCGAGAAAGATGGCATTCCACAGGCAGGAGCACAGAAACCCAGTTATGGGAACCACATGGCTTACCCGAATCAGATAACAAAGAAGAATGCAAAGGAAGGGCAGTCGTTACTCTCTTTGGATCTTACCTGTTATGTGATATTTTAGAATCACAGTTTAAGGGGTACACAAATAATAATAAATTGAATGGAGAAGGGTGAGTAGAAGGGAGAAAATGGATCGACAGGACATAAAAGAAAACAAAATCCAACCGCCAGCCAGTCAGCGGTCTGGTCTACCCAAACAGCAAAGAGAACAATTACTCCCACTGAAAAGACTGTATTGGTAACATGCTGACACAGATTGCATTTTTATCTGCCCCTTTGGAAAAATCATTTAATATAACATTATATAATTAATGTTGAGAATAGTGACGGAGCTCCGTGGTCTCTCACAGAAAAAGTATTGGGAGGGAAATAACACGTAAAAATGACTGTAAAGTCCTTCTGTCAGTGTAAAATGTTAAGTAGTAACAGTAAAATTGGCATTGTTTTTCTCTCGACTGTTAATAATAGAAGGGAAGTTGGGATGCACTTTCGTTCATTTTTATTTTACAGTAGTGCTTCCCCTGCATTTCTCACTCCTGCACGCAGTCTCCCGTTTCATTCTTAACTTATTAGAAAGCAGTACAGGAGACATGAATACTAAAATGGCCAGTGTAAAAAACATGCCTCCTGCACTTTGCAGGCCCTAAATCCTTGGTGCAGAGATCAAACGAAACAATTCCTGTGACTGCTTTAGACATTTTTATAACATTTTATAACACAAAGTTTTTATGAAGTCCATGTGTAGAAGTCCTTTATATTGCCGAACCCCCCTACCCCCACCCCACCACCAAGAGACAGCACTGAGGAGCCATCTACTTTCTTCATGCTCACCACTGGCTGAGTCCTTCACTGGTGGGGAGAGGCATTTCCTGGGGACGGACTTCCTTCCTCCTGCATTTCAGATGAGACATTCTGCTTGTTAACGGCTTGTTACTACTTTCCGTGAGTGATGAGGGGGTAAAGGACTTCAAAACAAAGATCTGTCCTTCCATGTGCCCATGACGACTTCCCTTGAATAATGTCAGGTTGAAAATTAGAAGAACTAACTTAGAAAGGTATCTTCCTTCTTCTGGCCACCTTCATTCCCTTTGCCAGAGGTAGGGGGAAATGCCTTCTTTTCTCTCTTCCTTTCAGTTGACTTGTGGCTCTGTTCTCTTCCTGTTAGTGCAGTTGGGGGCCGTGTATTTTTCAGTGGCGGGACAAAAAGGAAACCACTGTGTGGAGATGTCCTGGGTGGACTCCTCTGATCCCTGGAGGACATTGAATTTGTTCCCATCCACACAGGACGGTTCCAGGATCTGGGTGTCAGTGATTTCTTTTAGGAGAATCACAAAGATCAGAGGCTGGTGGACTCTTCTTCTTCTTCTTCTTTTTTTTTTTTTTAAGAATGGGGAGTGGTTGAGGGCAAGAGAGATTGAGAATCCCAAGCAGGCTCCAAGCCCAGTGTATAGCCCTGCCAAGGGGCTTGATCTCACGTCCCCTAGATCATTACCTGAGCCGAGATTAAGAATCAGTTGCTCAAACCACATGCCCCTTCATTCTTTTTTTAAAATATACTTTCCGGAAATGCCTGGGTGGCTCAGTCAGTTTAATCATCTGCCTTTGATTATGGTCGTGATCCCGGGGTCCTGGGATCGAGTCCCGCATCAGGCTCCCTGCTCCGTGGGGAGCCTGCTTCTCTTTCTGTCTGCTGCTCCCCCTGCTTGTGCATGTACTCTCTCTGTCTCTCTCTCTGACAAATAAAATCTTTTAAAGAAAATAAAATAAAATATACTTTCCTTAAATGTTAAAGGAATAATACCAAGAAAGCAAATCCTATAGAAGACCATGAAACTCAGTTCTGAAAGATAAACACAGGTTTGATCATACCCGATACCTAATAAGTGCTGATTATTCAGGAAGTAATAAGCCTGCACACTGATCCTTTCACCTGGACTTCTTTCCTTGGCCCCTCTGTTTTTTTGACTTCAGTTTATTTCTTTGAGGATACATGTTGGAGGGAAAGT